TTATTCAGGAAGCATCAGACAACGATATCGACTAGACAGATCGATGTGCTATGAATCAGCAGTCCTCAGACTGTACAGAGTCTATTTATTAAATACACCAGTGCAAACCTGGGTGCTCACCACTGATCCCAGTGTTTGCTATGAGAAAAAGAAAGAGCATCCCAAAAGGCAGAATCTCCCTGAGCTCTGCTTCGGAGGTCCCAAAGAGACCAAGTCCATATGCACAGCAGCCTCTGCTCCTCCACATTAACAGCTGGAGTCCATCCTCTGGCGTGGGAGAAAGTTAGCTGTCATTTTTCCTCTTTATTATGTGACTTCATCAAACCACATCACCAGCGCCAAAGGAAGCCCAGGGAAATAATGCTACCAGTCTGTTCCTGTCTTTGTCCTTTTCAGCAGAATGGCTCCATATTTCTTACGCCTCTCCTACAAATCAGTGCAGCTTACTTTTCCTTGCCCTTCATTATGATGTCAATAAAAAGCTTTCCATAAGAAGAGGAAAAAAATTAAAAAGAACGAAGTTATTTAGCTAAATCCAATTCATGTTTATTTTTGACAATTCTGTATTCTACTCTTCCTGACCTCTTAACAAATTGCCCCCACAGTCTCCTGCATCCTGCTTAGGAAGCAGCAAAGGCAGCCTGACCTGGTCTATATAATTTGTTAATTATTTGTAGAAAATATTGGGAAACACAAACTCTTCAATTACCACATATTCTGCAGCCCTAAGCACCAGCATTCAGTAATCAAGCTATTTATAGATTTAGCCTTATTTCACAAGCTTGCTTTTCTCTTGGAGCCATTAACCCTCTGAACAGTCAACATACGTGACTTAGAAAGGTTCAAGGTTGTGGATAGGAATTGAATTGTAAGTTGTTGTATGTATTTCAAGCTGTCCCTTATCAAAAGGAAGTAAAAGCTATGCAACAATACCTAATAAAAATAACAACATAGCAACTACTTTTCCAGATTTATTTTTTTTTAGGTGAAAGGTAGTACTTGGCAGATGAGAAAGAAATGAACAGCCTCTGCTTGTTGTTCTTCTAGGTCTTTATTTTTGACAGAAGCAAACCATATGTACTTTTTTTTTCCCTGTTGTTACTGTAACGAGGAAGCACTCTGTTAAATATTAAACATGTACATGAATTAAGCACTCATATGCTGTGCTGCAGGAGTCTGTAGAAATCAATGAGGTGATCTAGACTATTTGAATGACAAATCTTCTGGCTTACGCATTTTAAGAATTCAAAATAGCAATTCTGAACTGCAGACGCACATCAAAAGCCCTGTCTCCCTACACTTTATACCAAATCCTAGTCATGTAGACAGGCTAACTGCATGGGTACAGGGATCCATCTGAATTCCACAGTTAGATCAAATACCTGTTACATTCAAACATTTACTATTTACATCTCATATTAAAAGTCATTTAAAATATCAAACAAAATGTTTTTCTTCCAGGTGAAACCTCTGAAGGAGTAGTGTCCAACACAAATATCTTTTAGTCTGTCTCCCAATATTGACCTTGTTCAGCTTCCATTTGCCTTTTTACAATACCAAATAATGTCCTGGTTAGGTATCTATGTATTTTCCCCAACAATAAACATTTCTCTTGCAAGTCTGGGAATTAGGCAGTCATTCTCATTTCAAACTTTTTAAAAATTATATTATTTCCTCTAAAATGCATAGATGAAGATCTAAGCTGGATTTAAATTAGACACTGGCTAGTTCCAAAAATAGGCTAGTTCCAAAAGTCCCATTAAATGGGAAGAGATTAGTAAGAATAGAACAGCCAACCCTCACTGTAAAAACTGAACATGTTTTTACGAACTAACAAACGTGTAAGACATCTTCTGATCCTCTGAACTGAACTAAGCTTTTTATTTGCTTGAAGAATATTTTGTGCTGTCTCACAGAGAGGCCGGAGTCAGCATGGAGACACATGGCCTCTAAGCAAAGTTGAATTCTTGAGCTGGCAAACTGCTGCAGGAAGCAGTGTGCTCTGCTTAAAACCAAGCTGGCCACATGTAAGTAGTGTGTGATTGACCACATAACACACATTGTCCACTTTCACTTTACAAGAAGAGTTATGATACAAGCGCTTGCCTTTATGGCAAATAGCAGAACAGGTTCTGCATTCGGTATTTTGGCATAACTGCACAGGGGTAACTCACAAACCAGAACTGTGGTGTTGCAATTGTCTGATCTGCAATAAGTCTCATTCCCTGTAGAGGCTGTTGGACCTGTGAAACTGATAATTGATAGCAGAAAATTCCCAGGGGTAAAAATGGGAGCCTCTGATTTTACGTCCAAAGTTCAGAACAAGTATGATATACAAAGCTTTCATGAGTTGAATTTTGCCACCATCCTACCACTGAAATTTGTCAGCAGCATGAGAGGCAACCCACCAGAGTTTAGAAAGTTCCTTACACTATCCTAAACTTCATGTGTGCTGTATGTACATCTTTGCCATTAAAATAATCAAATTTGAAGATGATGCTACTTCTGAGAATAAGAAAATATTTGAAATAAGTGGAGTCCTAACCTTTTCCATAACATGACAGTTTTGCTCATAACTACATCAAATTTTACCTACTTCAAGCATTTACAACTCTGAGAAACACCATTTTAAATTGTATCTGTCTCCAGGATAGAGCTCTCCAGAAGTAGATAAAAAAGCTTCCTTAGCACTTAGGTACTAAAGGTGGTAAGCACTGAAGCTTCCCATCACCCAAATCCCTGAACTCTAGTTGGCATTTGTCAACATAGGTATCATCTGTTAGAACTAACATCACCTGATTTCCAATATCACTATAACAAGACAGTCTGTAAGAGCAGACGTATTTCTTACCTAATGCCCTCAGTCAGCTGCTTTTACCACTGAGGTAAAAGTTAGGCAGGAAGGAAAACACTGAGCAGATGGGTATGTTTACTGGGGAGTTAAACTGTGTTCAGAAGCACCACTTACAATATTTCTGGGAATTGGTGTAGTCAGGAAAGTATAAAAGCGTATTATAATTAATAACTGTATCAGCCAGCTCAGTCTTGAATGTGTTTGTCAGGTTGTGATCAGAAAACTTTTTTTTCCAATTTGTCTTTAATAGTTAATACAATTACACTGTATAAAAAACACTGTTTTTTACTTATGAGATAGTTTGAAAAACTCTTTTTACTGAATATTTGAGAAGTACTGAGAATATTTAACTGTCCAATGCTAGTTTGTGAACTAAAGTAGATCAAATTCCAAAATACAACCTTTTTACACACTGTAAAGATAAGAGATGGCAACTTAGACACAATTCCAACATTTTAAGAAATCAATTTAGTGTTTTTTTGCTTGTTTGTTTTACCAAAGATAATGAGCATTCAGATTACCCAAAATTGGAAAATTTGGGTGGATGCAAAACTATTTCCTTGAAAAATAGATTTGGCATGTAAGTTATTGTATGTTCTCAAAAAAAAAAAAATGTTTCCAGTCATGTGGATTCTCATTATATAACAGGTGATTATGCATTTTAAAAGACAGATGGATCCTTTGTAAGGTTTTTTCCTTGGCATAGGGTGATTAAGGTCAGTTCTGAATGGGACTCATGTCTAAAGATTTCCCAGTTGAAAAGTACTGGTTCACTCAGTTCATGTCCAGAGTGCACAGATAACTTTACTGTCATCCTATGCAATAATGTACAAGGAAGATCAGACAGTGCTGGTTTGTATAGGAACTCATCATTCACAGAAAAATGAACCCCTGTTGTTTAAATTGAGACCAAAAAAGAGACATCTGAATGTAGGCCATGTTAACACACTGTTGTTAGTCTTAAGGCTGGTCCAGAAACTGACCTCATTGCAAAACCCTTTGTAAGCTTTGTGTTCACGTGGGTAAAGGCAGGTAATAACTAAGGAGAGTAAACAATAGCTCCACAAATGCAATGAAATTTTAAGGAGGAAGCGTTGAAGCAGAAAACTACAGAAGGCCTGCTTAGATCTCTGTAGTTCCTCAAGATTATCTAAATAGGCTTTATCTTTCAGGCAATGTTCTTTGCTCCATGAATCCTGGCACTAGTAATCCCCAGGTTGTTAAAGCCCTCTATTACTGATAGGTCTTTACCAGCAGGAAACAACTCCTCTTTCAATCACCTGATGCAAAATTAACACATAGCAATTCTTCTCTTTGTTGGACACACACTGTGATTACCCACTGTACTAGCTTTATGATTTCATAAACTAGTGAGCTAAGCCAATATAATCGGTCACACACTGATCTAATCTCAGTAGCCGTTTTGGTTCGATTATAATATTGTTCATTTTAAGTTCATAGTAGTTGAGTCTATGTAATGTGCTTCTGTGATGTTAATATTTACTTATCTATTTAAAACAATAAAATCAGAAAAAGCACACAGAACTAGATTATGCCTTTGTAGCCCTTTACAGGTACCTCATGTAACACAAATTAGGACTTTTAAAAACAAAGGCCTTTATTAGAGAAAGCCACCCCTTATCAAGAAAGATGAATTTATCTGCTAGCATGATCAGAGGAGACATGATCATATTTTACCAGAGAAGAATAAAAGAGCATGTCTGGATTAGTCTAGCAAATGGAAGGGTGATAAGGATACGTTTTTTCTTCACACCCGTTCACAAGTGCTATGGAGGGAGAAGAGCTGGAGAGTCCAATGCTGCCAGCTGTCAGAGATTGACCATGGGTGAAGCTGAGGAGCATACCTATCCAAAGAACGAGGCTCTAGACAAATTTTATAGTAGGGCAACACCTACAAATCTGCAAAAATGTGACTGTTCAACAACCAGGTCTATATATCCAGTGTTTCTGAATGTGTTAGCAATGTATTTTTTCTCTATTGATTGTGTCAGTGTTGTACACCTGATACAGACATAAATTTCCCTGGAGATATCAGATAAATTGTCATGCTTTTTTATTAACTTAAATTAAAAATGTAAAAAAGTCTTTTTCTGTCACCAAGATTAAAAATTGTTTCTTCTCCCAGGAAGCAGATCAAAGGCTTCTTGAAAGAAGGGGAGTACTTCCTGAATGGTTCAAGTGCATAGCAACGTGATGTAATTCATAACATAAATGCAATTTCTGAATGTTCCTCTTATCCTGGAGCTTGGCAGGAACTCTATTTCACTGGCAATTGGTAAGAGACATGCAACTGCTGTGAAAGCAATAAGTTCCTTTAAAAAGATACGTTTGGACTAATCAGTGAATAAGATTTTTAAGTGGCATGACTGATGAGATAAGTCTTAAAATAAGATATTTTTACATGTGTTTAATGTAGAAGGATGCCCACAAGTGCCAGATGTACTGTTACATATAAGAACTTCAGTTTTGGTTTTGTGTCACAGACTTGTCATACATCTTCATCAACATATGACAGGTTTGTAACGTCCTCTGATTGCCTTTCCTTCACTGTGAGCTCAGGTTTGTCCCAAAGTTTCAGTCATGAAGACTTTCTGTTTCTGCTGCATTAGGATTGCTGGACCTGCATTTCCTGAAAGGTCCTTAAAAGTAACTCTTTTGCTAATGCAAGCAGAAACAGTCTAGTATCAAATATTTTTTTAGACCCTGATAAGCAGGGTTGTCTCAAGTTTAGACAATTGAGAGGATTAATTTCGGCTTTCACTAATGATGTTCTGAAATGATTTCTGTGCAGTAATACCTAGTCTCAGTTATGGGCTCTTAATTCTGGGCCAACACAACATTGAGCCAGCTTCTTCAGTCTGGGAACTTGTTAGTGCAAGCCTATTGCCTGTGTGCATAGGGCAACTCATAATTGCTTTGTACCTTGAAGGTGTTTATAGCCTGCTTGCAGCGCCTCTGTGTGGTAAAATATGCCCAAACAAAGTGACCAAGAGAAAGAGGAGGACACCAATATGCCAAAAACACCAGCATGGAGAGGCTGCCGGATGAGATGTCTTTCTCTGAATGACAGGTAGTTCATGTTCAGCATTTAAGCAAGGAAGAATCATAGAATCAGAGAATGGCTCGGGTTGAAAGGGACTTTAAAGATCATCTAGTTCCAACCCCCCTGCCATAGGTAGGGATGCCACCCATTAGATCAGGTTGCCCAGGGCCTCGTCCATCCTGGTCTTGAACACCTCCAGGGATGGGGCATTCACAGCTTCTCTGGGCAACCTGCTCCAGTGCCTCACCACGCTCCGAGTGAAGAATCTCCTCCTAACCTCTAATCTAAATTTATCCTCTTTTAGTTTAAAACCATTCCCCCAGTACTGTCATTACCTGACTGAGCAAAAGGTTGCTCTCCATCATTTTTATAAGCACCCTTTAAGTATTGAAAAGCTGCAATGAGGTCACCCCAGAGCCTTCTTTTCTTTAGGCTGAACATCCCCAGCTCTCTGAGCCTTTCTTCATAGGAGAGGTGCTCCAGCCCTCTGATCATCTTCAAGGCCCTGTTAGTGCTTTGTTACACACAGATAGATTGCCTCTAGATAGAAAAAGCAAAAGCTGTTCGCTTGTAGAAAATATTGAGGTAAACAAACAAACAAAACCACACCATTCACATCTCTTTCCATCTGAATATTAAGCTTTATGGTGTATCAAGGCCACTAGCAGGAAGTTACTCCCTCCTCATAGCTGGCATTACAGGACATGGAAGCACAGCTCAGGAATGCTGCCAATGGTCAGCAGTTAGAAGGTTAAAGTGATAGCTGCTGAAGTGTAATTCTGCTTTTCAAGGAGCAGCACTCTTATTTCCTTGCTTTATCCATAAGACTCCTTAACTTACCCGTGTGGCTATTTTATGTTAGTCACATCTATCCACAAGCCAAAGGGAAACAGAGATTGATGTTTCATGTCAGACAGAAGCTGAATCATTGCCTAAACCAACATAAATTAACTGCTCTATAATCTCTCAGTAAATTAGTTTTACCTTTTCATGGCATGAGGAAATGCCAATAAGCTTAGAGACAGGAATCTGGAAAAAAAAAAAAAGGCATCAGCACAATCATATCATTTGCTTAACATAGTAGGAGGTAAAATTCAAGGACTACTAGCAGTCATAATTTAATCATTTTTCCCTCTCTTTTGTCCATAAATTGGATTTGAGAAATTAAATGAGTGTGTGTTGCCTGCAGACATTCTTTGTTAACACCAACATCCTTCAGAATAGCATGGGAAACTTCTGTCCCAGAAAAGACCTGGATGTTTCTCACTACGGTTGGAATGGTTGATATTATTCTTTTGAAATAGTTTGTTTTAGAACTTAACTTTCAGAAAACACACATTTAAAAAAAAAAAAAAAAAAGCTATTGACCTTGAATATTTTGTCCTCAAAATCAATAAACTGTTTTTGCTGCTTGAAAAACTACTACTGTTTCATTCGTTCCCTTCACTTGCCTGGACCACTGCAGCTGTGGTCCTTCCCAAATCTCCCTTGCTTTTCCTCATGTCCCAGTTTGGCTTTCTGCCCTGCTCGTCCTCTCCTTTTGTCTTCTTCAAGCCCCAGTTCTTTCAGCTGTTTTCCTGCTGACTCTTTGGCCAGATGAACTGGTCCTCCCAGCCACAATCAGCATACCACTATCATCAGCCACTCTTAAAGGGGCTGTCATGTCCTGCCACCTCCCCAGGGCAACCCATCAGCCTCCCTCCCTCCCCTTGGCCTTCACTCCTCCTCCTTCTTACACATCCTGCAGGAGGATCAATGCAAGTTCTGAAAAGACGAGCTCTGTGCTGGTGCCAGAATAGCGTTGTTGTGGGAAGTCTGACTCTGGTTGTATCCAGGGACTGAATCAAGCTTAATGGCTCTGTAGAGTTTATGCACACCCAGCTTTATCAAAATAGCAAAACATAGTTTTGTCAGGCATGCACAAGCCAGACAAGACATACTGAGCTTTTGGCAGCTAAGATCTAAGTCTGCATGGACTGTGTGCAAGTTACAATTTATCAAGTCTTTCTAACTTGCACAAGAGCATTGAGAGCCTGCTACAAGAGCCATGCCAATGCTGTATTTGAACCATTTTCCCAAGCTTTTGGTGGCAAGAATCAAAAAACAAGGTCTCATTCCTAAGACTGGTCATTAGGCTGTGCCTTTTTATCAGTGTTTCTCACTAAATGGTAGGCTGGGCTAAGCATTCAGGCTAGAAAACTTAAGGCTAAACACTTAGAGTTTGGCAAAGTTACATGACTGAAATCCCACTCTGATGACAGGAAGTGTCAAGCAACCTGAGCAACTAGTGTGAGGAGATACACTTGTAATCAGCTTCCTAATATTTCTGGTACCGGTACATTACCTTTACTGCTCTGAAGCCATTTTCAAGGAAAGTTATAAAAAGACTCTATTTTTGTATGTTATGTTTTCGCATTATAATTACAGCTGTTTAGACCATTATATGTTCACTTGTTGAAAGGACATTAAATGAGCTTCACAAATATTTAATCTAGCTGCAGCATGACTTAAGTTTACTTCTCTTTCTGTAAAGAACTAATAGCCATGCCTGGTGGTTGCTGTAGTTACCCCTTACTGGAAAAGCACCCAGGGTGTTCTTCCCTTTGGGTCTAAAACTTCCTTCCTGGAGCTTTGTGTCAACTGAAACATTAACTGTAACTTTTTAGAGGGTAAATCTACTACAGCCAGGCTATTTCACTGAAAGGTTTCTATGCAAGGTTTTTTTCTCCTAATACTACCATGGAGTGCTGAAATAGTAACTCTGTGAAGTTCACATTTATTATTGCATATACACTGAAATGAAAGCTTGTAGACTTTGTATAATTGGAGATATATATTTTCCCTTTTATTCTTGTCTTGTGAATTCTGTTAAAGCTGGTCAAAAACAAACTGGAAGAAATTTAAGTAAAGTATGTTGTTCCTGAAATAGTTTTCCTAGGGCTTTCCCAGAAATGTTGTGGGGTTTCTTCTGTGTGTCTCTGCGTTTTGGGGTTTGCATATTTTTTTGTTTCTTGTTTGTTTTGTTTGTTTGCTGTTTTTGTTTTACTTCCAACAATGACCACTCAAAGAGGGATGATTAATTGTTTTCTAGGTTGTAAGGTATCACATTTCTCCTCTTGTTCAGCCTTAATTAGATTATTGAATGTTGCTCTCTGGCTATTTGCATTTGTGTGACTGAAAATGAGCTCTCTTCTTCAACAGCTGGTGGTATTTCAGCAGGGAGGCAGTGTTCCACTGTGCAGCGCCAGCCCTGTAATGCTGAAGATGTGCCAGACTTTTCGATAAAAGGGACCTTGTTCTGCTTCAGCTTCACCCTTGTCCAGCATCATGCTGTGACACTTGGAGATCTTCCAAGAACTTGTGTCACAGGCCCTGCTAGAGCAGAAGCCAAAGTAGCCCAACTACTACACAGCTTTTGTGCTGTAACTGAGCTTTTCCCATGCATGCCTATTTAGGAAGTTACTACTGAATATGAAAAGGCATTTAAAGCATCTCCATCCAGAGGCACGTCTGAAATGCATGTTGTTTTTTTTTTTTCCACTACTAAATTTAAGTGAAGAAGAATATAATAGAGGAAGAAGCAGGAGATGAAATTTGGTTTGGGAGAGTACCAAGGAAGGAGGAAAAGGTAAGCAGCACTTAATAGATATGACATGCTTGTTAAGCTGTGTTAAACAGCTCCTCTACTTCACTAAGCTGAGCCATACTCGTTCATCTATGTTGTTTCAGAAGCTGCAACTAGCATCTCCTGAACAGGTCACATAAAGATGGAGATGCCCTTCACTGAAATGCAACCATGAGACTCCAGCTGCAGGGCCAAAACACTACCTGCTGCACAAGTTTATCTGAGAATAAATAAGATAGGTATGCAAAAAAATACTGATCAGATAATAGAGAAAAAGTGATAAAGAAAGGTATGAAACTCCTTCCATACCAGAAATAGTATAGAGTTTCTCAGCCTGGAAAACACAACAAATGATAGAATAGACTTACAAAAAAATCACAGGAGGCAGTGAGTAAGGAACAATTGTTTACTGTTTCTTCCAGTGCAAGACCTGCAGATTGTTAAATGAAGTTAATAGCAAGTTCAGAAGAAGGGGAGGCATTTCTTCCATGTAATATGCAGCTAAGGTATGAAACACTTTGCTACGGGAAATTGTGAATGCTGTATGTTTACATTGATTCCAAAACCTCTGCAACAAATTCATAGAGGAGAAACCTGTTAGGCACTATTAAATACAAGGAGACAGGCTGCAGTTCAGGAAGACCTGAAGCAGCCTAAGCTGTGTCATCTGGGCCATTTCGTCTGAGCTGCTCTCATATTCCTTCTTAGCCAGCCCCTACTGCAATGTCCTCCATCAACACAATATTGTGCTAGAATAGCTTTGAGTTTGACCAGGTATGGCCATTTCTATTTTCTGGCACAGCTGCTTTGCTTGCAGGACCATAATGGAGGACCCTGGAGGTCTTTAAAAGACATTTAGATGTAGCACTTAGAGATATTGTTTGGTGGAAGACTTGTTAGTGTTAGGTCAGAGGTTTGACTAGGTGATCTTGGAGGTCTCTTCCAACCTAGATGATTCTGTGATAATCATTTGTGGGCCATGTAGCTGCTTCAGTTGGCAGTACAGCCATCAGAGCACACCACCACCCTGCTGCTCTTGGGCTCTCTGTCCAGTAAAAACTAGCTTGCCTGTGCTTTGAGCCCACCACATCTATAGATATGGAGAGCCAAATTTAACCCTACTGCTCTGTTTATTTACAGTAATTTGCTCAAACGTGGACTTTCACCATTAAAACATACCAGCATGAATATGCATGTAGTAAATACCAGTCAAAAAGTAAATTAGCAAGATGCCAGCTACCTTATCTCTCCTCTTCATTTACATCGTGACTTATCACAGTTGACATTTCAGTAAGGCTGTAGTAGCAGATCTGAATTTGAACATTCATAAGGGGAAGATGTAATACACTGGCTTTGATGTCAATAGAATGTCAGTCTCTGTCTACTTTGTTCAGACTGAACTTAATTGCAGGAACTGCATTAATAGTCAACATAAGCCATCTGTTTAAACATGTGTGTTTTGGAAAGAACTGCCATGTACAATAAACACACTTGCTGTAATGACTCATATATCTGTTTATGTGAAACGCAGATTTGGCACTTTCCCCCCAAAAAAACATTAAATTACAGGTTAAAAGCATTTTTATAACAAGTTCATTTGTTTACGTGGCAGGTCTGATGGTACAATAGTTTTGATGCAGCCTGGGAAATGTGTTAACTGCGGGGCTGCTGAACCTAACCGTCAGACTTCCCTCAAGAACCTCAGTCAAACTGCACCAAGAAGTGTCAGGGAGTTCCCTGGCTGAGAGGCACATAGAGGTATGTTTGCAAAATGTTCTTCAATGCATTTCACCAGGGTGCACATGGAGGAGGGACACTACTGCCCATGTCTGATGCAGCAGTTAACTCTAAAACATCCCAAATAAGCCTGGTGTAGCTGACAGCCTGGCTAGGTAATGTCTGGAACTGCTGTGGGCCTATGAATAAGCTACCTTCATAAGCATTACACTGATGTTCAATCACTGATCTCGCGTGGGGGAATCTGTTTGCCTCTGCTTTGAAGACTGAAGCTGCCTTGAGCAGCTGACACAACACCTGAGCAATTACATGCTAATGTAGGAAAAGTCAGAAATACATGTATTCAGCCTCACATTTCATCAGTCAGAAAAACACACTTTCATCCCCTTGTTCTTCCTTGTAAGTATATATTAGATGTTACTTTTAAGAGTGAAACATGCCATTAGGTATTGCTTCTGGTGTCATTTCTAAGTTAGCTTTGTTAAATTAATCATGATAATGCACTGGTGCCTGGACTTCTTCAGCGGCATCATAAGTGATGAATCAACCTATTCCATGCACACTGAGCAGGGATGCAGAGCCTGGATGCATGCTTCCCACTCACATGTACAGAGTAGGGTTCTGCTACGTTTATCAGTCACAGATATGCAAAATAATTGTGGGTGGCAGTTTGGAGGGGAGGCTCAGAAAGTGGGTGGCGAAAGAAACATTTAGTAAAGGCACATAGTGAACCAGCAACTCCATCAGCTTTTCTCCATGCGAAGTTAGCCTGTCAGTACTATGGCCCTGCTTTTTTTCTTTCTTTTTTTTTTTTTCCTAGAACTCTTTTAAATTCATGGGAGATATAAAGAGGCCTAATTTTATTTCCTTAAACTTGCTATGGCACAGACTGCTTGTTCCAATGGGATGTAATATTTCATTCAATGAAGGGGATAACAATTATGTTTTAAGATGTACTCTAATATCAATGGTTTCCTTGTTAAATGTTTTGTGCTTCATATACCTGAGGGATCCCCTATGTAGGGGATTTTGTTAATGTTTATATTTCTGTGAGTTTGAAGTCGACTTGGTGTGCAAGCAACCTGCAGGTGTCTTTTTGCATGATGTTCTGTGTTTTTCTCTCCGTTTGCATCTTCTTACCTCTCTCGTCTTTTGTGGTTTACAGAAATTTTGGTAGCATGGACCTGTATGGGTTGAACCATATTTATGTAGCTATCAGAAATCTCCTAGCACCTACCACTACTCAGTGTATAAGAGCATTGCCAACAAGTCATGTTGCAGTGCGTTGCCAGCTCTTTCCAAAGCAAATGATTGTTACACACATCTTCAACATCAGTTACCAGGGCAACATGGGGCACTTACGTGACAATCCAGTAGTTTTACATAGCCCAAAATGCTCCTGTCATTAAAAATTAATCCAACTGGGGCTGATCCCCAGATTTCCTTATGATGTATCACCTAGAAAACAATCTTCCATTTAGGTCTTTTAAAAAATTGTTTCCAAGAGAATAATATACTCTGAGATATTACATGTTTTGTTTCAAGGCCCAATCCTCCATTCAATAGGCCTAGATTTCTGTTGCTGCTTCTTTTATTTTATTGTATTTTCGTAGCTAAGTTTTCTTGGGAGACCTATAGAAACCCATGCTGCTTTCTGTTTGTCTCATGGACTATACAACGTGATAGGTGAAAATAGCGTAATATTCAGGTTACTCAGCCCAATTTATCCACTTAAGTCTACATACACTTACAAAGATGGCACAGAACAACTTCAGATTACTGTTTTCCTGCATACAGCCCACAACTGAAATGTCCAGCCTCTTCAGATAACCCTCACTTAATGAAATGGGAAAGGAGAAGAGGCACACTGAGGCAGATGTAAAAGGCTGTATGGTATCAGAGGAAGAGGGACTGATGGAAATTAAAGAGGAGATGGTGAACTTTGTCTCCTGTCACACAAGGGAAGATAGTCATTACCGCTACTACCACTAACTCAGTTTTGCTTCTTTTATAATAAAAAGAATGGTACTCAAATGGCAGCTGTAAGCCTGATATATTAGAGAGCATGGTAAACTGAAGTTTCCCTTCAGAGGTATCCTGGGCTAAAGTTTCTCTTCAGACTTCACTGTATCACACGTAATAGTAATGCATGTTTATGCAGTAAATTAGTTTGCACTGAGGGCTCTGAGTCACTCCTCAAAATGCATCTAACAACTCCTGTCTTCCCTTTTAAACTGCTGTCACTCTGGGTTATTGAAACTGAATTCAGGAAAGTGCTGGGGGAGCAGGGAGCTGGGGATGGGGAGAACTTTCCTGTTTTTGTATCCGTTAGACAAGAACCTAATTACAGAAGTTGTCTAATAGAATTCAAAACATATTGACCTAGTTAATAGTCTCTAGCTACCAAAGAACTCTAAAAATCAAGAGAAGCCTTTTTCCAAGTAGCTTCTCAAAATCTTACAGCAAGTAAAATTCAAGAAGCAGGATCATAAATGGTACTGTGATTACAAGGAAAACTGTTTCTTCTCTGTTGGGAATAAAGAAAATAATAAAGAGAAGTTAAAACAGGTAGGCACAGTAAAATTCTAAAGGGCTTTTTTCACCCTCAACTCTTTAAAGAAAACTCAGGTCTGGTCACGTAAAAAAAAAAAAGTCTTGTCCCATTCTCTGTATTTGTCAGCATTTCTATATCTTAACTTTGAAAGCCATTCTATTCAATTTAGATAATAGTGGTTTCTAAGTGGAGATGAGGCATGTTTTTTTTTTTGTTTTGTTTTTTGTATTTTTCACTTTAACAGAGGTGTGCTTTTATCACATACTGCAAGTCTTTTCATCCTTTGAGGCCTTAGTCCTGCAGTTGGTGCAGTAAAAGATCTTGTTAATTTAAGCACAATGAACAGCGAGAAATGAGCCATGGCTGAATCCCATGCTGTGCACTGGTAATTTATCAGAAAGGAAAGTCTTCTGCCTTGTCAAATTACTTTCTTCAATGTACTTGAAGTAGGGGAGATGCTAGTCTTAGAGGAGCTGAGGGTCAAAGGTTCTATCAGGAAAGTCTATCTCTTCTGTCTTTACAACTAAAACACAAAATAAGCTGTAACATCCAAGATGAATGTTCAAGTACTTGGTCTGTAAGGAGGTAACAGAGCCGAAGGCATAGGCAAAGTAGAAATGTGCCTATGACAATAGTATACTACCTGCTGTAGCTGTAGAGCAAGTCTCTCGGGAGGAAGAAAGAAAAAAAAAAAAAAAAGAAAATAGAAATACAAAAACCCAGACCAACCAACAGAAACAAACACCGTGTGCTGTAGCCTTCTCAGGGAGGGAGGTATTGGCACAGGGAGCAATCATCTCTTCTGCATCAGTCAGTCATTTTATTTTATTAGGGATTTGTAAAACCAGAGATACTGTGTTAAATAGCTTGAAGCAGTCTGCACAGTGAAGTATTTCATTTTCTATGCAAGTCAGTCTGACCATTAGTAAAGAGAATAATTTTTATACTTTTAAGCCTATCTCCCATGTACAACGTGTGAAGTTTCCAACAAGAGAAAAAGTACCAGGTCTATATTACTATATACCAATATTGCCCTTGTATTGTAGCTTTAGGTTTAATGTAAATCAACAGTCTGCATGCTTGGCATCAAACCTCACACTTAGTTTTACTCAAGATACTCTGATATTACCAGTCCTGTCTTTGTGTTGGAACTGCTGACTGGAAACAATCAGATTTGTGATGTCAGTGCTGTGCTGCATCACCTGCAAGGCATGATATGTTTCATAGCACAATTGGAAGTGACCCAGTTCTAGTAACCCGTGGGTAAAAATACATTGTCTGGAACTGCATAGTTCTGGAGCAAAAACAATACTGCCAAAGGCAAATAAAGCACTTGCAAAGAGGCCAAACAGTTTAGGAGAGAGTAGGGAGATGGACACATGGAGACAGATAAAGAAACACAGGCTTTCAGTTCTGTCCTTATCCGAAAAAGATTTATGGCAAAGAGGACGCACCAGAGAGAAGTTTACTGTGAGCAATGGAGAGAGGTGGGAGAAAATAAAACATTTCCAGGAGAGAAGAGTCAGCAAATATAGGGAAGTGATGTGCTAAAAATCTGAGATAAAGACTCAGAGGGTCTGACCTTCGCAACAGCGACAGCTGACAAAAGAGCAAGGTATGAGCTCATAATACATTAGATAAGAGTGCACTGAAACACAGTTATGCCATTACAGAATTTACACTTGAAATATCTACCGGTTTGTCTACAGAGTTTTCTGTTTATTATAAATAATTTAATTTGGTATCCATTGCTTTTAAGCTTGCCTGCTAATCCTTCAATAGCAGCTCCTGCTACAGCCTGAAGGGCAGCAGCAATCGCAATTTGTGGCTGCTCAGTGTCCCCAGGAGAGATCTGGGCTGGCTGTATAGAGAGGGCTTCTTCTGCTGTTAGTATGCCAGGAAGCACTGCCTCTGGCCCAGCCAGTGCATTCACTGAAAGGGTCCTTTCTTCTATTCCATTTATTTTGGTCAAACAACAGAAGTTTGATTATATTTCTTAGGAAACTGTTACTGAAATAGGTTACAATTTACATATTTCTTGCAAAGTATTCTCTGTATTTTTGCATCTATAGTCCAGAGCTAAAACAGGACCTAGGCATATTATTCATGTGCATTTCTTAAAATTAAATCTATGCATAGCTCATGCGTATGAGCTCTTCAACACAGCAAATATACCAAGAACTACAGGAACCACCTGTGTTGGAATAAGGTCTGTAGGCATAAACCACCGGCCTCAATTTTAGACTGCAGAGATAAAATGTTAAAACAGTAAAGTCGGTCTTAAAATGTAGATATTTTAAACTGTTCAGATATGTGTATATTTACACCCATCAGAAATTCACAGCATGGAGAAACTTTTATCCCATGCTGCCCCATATCAGCACTACAGGTGCACTAAGGTCTTAGAACTTCTTGGTGACATATTTACTTTTATCATCAAATACAGCTCATCACTAGAAACACACAACTTAAAATATTTTGATTCTTTGCAAACCACAATCAGTCCAAATAGCTCAAGGTCTTTGTTGACTTTTCCGTACAGAATGCAAACAAACATCAGCAACAGTTTTTAGTGTTTAGTACATCAGTCTGATTAATCTCTCTACTGTGCTTCATTTTTGTATCTTTCTCTGTAGGTTTAGCAGTTCCCCATTGTTGGAAAATGCCTGTTTTTAATAAGAAACAAGACTATTAGCTGTACTGGAGTCTTATGATGGGACATATTTTACTGCTTTTGTATTTCAGTTGTAAACATGAAGTTTGCAGTGGAATAATGAAAGGGGAGGCTTTTATACTGTAATATTTCTCACAAGTAAATGTGCAAAGCTTTCTGCTTTTTGGATTTTAAGACTTAAATTTTACACTGAGGACATTACATCTCTTTTGGGTATTACAAGTAGTTTTCTAACTCAGCATTTGAGACGTTTTCCTGAGATGCCCTTCACACATAATGTAAGCAGGATCAGGCCAAAAATATCTGTATTCCTTTGACAAAGTCAAGATGGATGAGACATCTTACATTAGATTTCTGGCATTAGCAAACATACAAGCAAAACACATCCAGGAAAGTCACACCTTCTGCCTTTGAAAGGTGAAAGTGACTAAAAGTAATGATGGAAGTGTGATTGGAGTGGGCAAAGAAGACAAAGCCAGACTCTTCTCAGCGCTATGCAGTAAAAGGACAGAAAGAATTGGGCACAAACAGAAGTACAGGAAGTTCCGTCTGAACATAAGAAAACACAAAAGGAATAAAAAGAAACAGAAGAAAGAAAACCACAGATTTTTTTTTTTTTTTTTTTTTTTTACTCTGAAAGTGGTCAAACACTGGGATAGGTTGCCTAGAAAGGTTGTGGACTCTCCATGCTTTGGAGATGCAACTGAATATGGTCCTGAGCAACCTGTTGTAGCTGACCCTGAGCAAGGGGTTAGATTAGGTCTTTAGGTCCCTGCCAGCCTCAACTATTTTGTGATTCTGAAGCTGGCAAAAAGTCAATGCCATAGCAAGGACTGATCTTCATTAGAAATGAGAGTTTACCTATTAATAAGTTGTTATCAGGAGAAAGTGAATTCTAAACATTACCCAGACTTCAAATAATATTTATTTGCTACAAGAACACTGAGTGGAAATACAAATAAGTGAAGCAGATTAGTTCCATACTGATAATCCTAGTTTCACATTTTGGTTTTACACTTTATCAGTTTCTCCAACAGTAATTTCCCTCATGGTATGCTGAATTTCAACCTTTAAAAAGGTCCCACAAAGCAAGTATCCCTTTGTTTTCCTTTGCATTCATGCAGTTGTCAAGTGCTCTGCTCCCATGGGCTGTTCGACATTAAAGCCTCATCTTCTGTACCCATATCGTAACTTGGTGGCATGGCAGATCATTCCTGCCGGCTGGAACATATCTATTGTCCAGTAACTTCCATCCAGTCCCATTCCTGAGAGAAACTTAACTCATTCATTGCTAGCAAAGTATCTTTAAAGCAGACCTCTGAATGAAGCCACGTGTATTTGTAGGACAATACAGAAAAATTCCAGACTCACATAATCCTTCTGGCCTACATTTACTAAAAGTGCCCAATCCTTCCCAGTAGAAATATTTAGGACAAGTCTTAGGAAACTCACTATTGAATTAGATTTGTACTCAAGTCTTACACAGACTTGGATAATGTCTGGTGCTCCCCGTGGATTAGGAATAACTCTCAATTTTACGAGCTTTTTCACATTAATGGTTTTGTTTCAGGTTCCTATGGATGAGGCACATACTCCAGCATCCTGATATAAAGGCAGCTGGGTGAATAAGTGACAGATCTGCAGAATAGTTTAGGAACTTTTCTGAACAGAAATCAGAAGTTTAAGGATGTAACATGATTTTTCAGCTACATCACATTCTCTGTCAGGGCACTGGGATAATCGCCCTATCTGAGGAAACATTTCTGGAGCCAGTTTTGCAGCTACTTAGATATTCTTCTTTACAGCACCCCACAGGACAACACCTCCACTCCCAACCCAGCCACTTACCATCACCAACAGACTACACGTGACAGAAAAACAATACTTCCCCCTGGCTGTGCCAAGGACTTTGTTGTCTTGGTTGACAACAGGATCAACTATTGCTCCACCACTCTCTCCCAGGTGAAAAAAGACTGATTATCTCTGAGGGAAAGGAGACTATAGAGGTGTTTACCCGGGAACTTGGTAATTAGGAAGCATGATTCATACTCCAAAGTGTATGCATCTCTTTCCTAGTAATTCCACTGCATGTAGCTTCTCATAACCTTAATAGAGTTTTGTAACAGTGTCTCAAATCTTAGACAGACAAACCTGTACCACTGAAGAAGCTTGATATCAAAAAGTCAGTTACACACTTCATGTAAGGTTAGGAAATTTCATCACCTAGCAGATCACCTACACACACAGGACAAAGGCAGCCACTGGACAAAACTGCAGTACATATCAGAGCCACATAAATGCACCTTGCAGCTATAGGTTATACTTAGCTCAAACAAGGTTAGTAAGTTGTTATGTTTGGCAAGATTTGTGTCCTGGATCTTCCCTGTGACACCATGTGAGCCTCTTAGGAAGTGACGCTCCCTGCTGAAGGTCACCTTCACTTCTAACAGCCCCTTCCCCTGAGAACACACAAGGGGCACAAATTCCAGGTGCAACTCTTTTGTGGCATCAAATGAGGCTACCTTGCACTGCTCAGCTACCCACACAAAAGTAGCTCTCCTTGTGCCCAGCAATAAGCCAAGAGACTGACAACAAGCAAGTATTAACAACTGTGGATGTGAGGCTACAGCCCACTGAGCAGAGGGCACATCACCACACTCCTTCCTGGTTTGTGCTTCAGGCACGCTTCTGCCCTGCTGTCTGCAAGGGATGAACTCAAAGTCTGTTTTAGCTGTTCCACGATGTGAGGCAATGAATATCGAGTACAAAGCTGGGCTAACCAAGCTTAGATCACATCTCTGAAAAACCCCAACAACAATTTCAGACTTTTCTGTTAAAGATCATCTGTGGAGGCTTGGCTCTTCCTGCAGCCAATGCCACCACCACTACCAACCCCAACTAACTGATCCAAAACTGTCTAACCGAATTACTGTCTTGGATCAGCTCCAACACTTTAGGCAAAATAATTAAGGCTGTGAGATTCAGCATTGACCACAGCTGCTCTTTCATCATGACTGAGAATGCTTCTGCCAACACTCAGCAAGAGCCATTTGCATTCAGCAAGCTCTAACAGGTGATTTGCCCACCTGGGCTTCGGCCTCAGCTTCAGCACAGCTCAGCAGTCCCTACAGGCTGGGCAGCAGGTTATGTGGAGCCCTCCTTTTTTAACAGCAAAGTTTTGTCACATCAAGTAGGTGTGGGAGCAGTGCTGGGGTCTCCAGCTTAGCTGTAGCTGTAGCATCCAGCACAGCAACAGCCAGCTGTGCCTACTGCCCAACTCCTTTCCCAAAATTAGATGACTGGGATGCCAGCAGAAAGCAAATCTGGCAGGCACAGCTCTGCTATGGGCAAGGGGCTGCTAGAATGGCTCAAGCTAAAGTGCACTCAACCAGGGTATCATCTAGAACCACAGTTACATAAATAATATGGTGAAATCAGAGAAACCTCGGACAAACTTAGGCTGCCTCTGGCATTTCAAGATAACGTCTGTTATTGTTATTGTTTTTACTGGGATGATAAATTGAGGTTTATTGCTTGCTGGAAATTGCTAATGGTTAGGACAGGAAGGTTTGACCAAAAACAGAGCAAAGATTGAAGTCAGATGGTTTCAGTTTATGGAACTGTGCATTTTGATAAGGGGATGACAGAAATAATGATGGGAATTTGAGCAGCACCACTCTGAGCTACCCCTTCTCATTCTTCAGCTCTGCATGTGAGAAAATGAGCACTTTTAATATGAGCCTCTTACCCAAGTGCTCTTCTCAGTGTGTTTCTCATCTATTATGTCAAGGCAAGGAAGGGCTCATCCTTACAGGCAGCTGAGGAACCTGGTGAGACAGCCACAAGCAACACACAGCAACACTTAGGGTTGTGCAAACATTGGAAAACTATACTTGTGGGACCTCCTGGACTTCACAGCAACAGTTTAAACAGGCTGTGACCTGCTTCCCTCTACGTGGCTCCTCAGCTAAGCATTGTAGTGAAGACACAGAACTTTGGCTGGCCCTCTTACTTCAAAAAAAAAAAAAAAAAGTGCTACTCTTCTGTTACTTGCAGTGAGAAAAAGCCACAGCCTTCTCATTTACCTTGTGTTCTTTCAAATGCTTCCTGATTTTGCCCTGAAGAGGCTGAGAAATGCAAGTAGAGAAATCATTTAGCTTTAACAGAAAGGAAATGAGCTGGAAAATCTTGTTCACTGTTTTCTGTCCAGTACATGCAATGCTTGGCAAGGTCAGGTTCTCACTGTACCACTCAGGATAGCTAATTTTGTAGCATGACAACATTTATGGCCAGAAATAGAAAAGGAATAGCAGAGGGAATTAAAAAAATATCAGAAGACATAGCTGTTTGGTCACTTGTGGTGGTATCAAGGAAAATAAAATCTGTCATTTCTTTTCATTCGTTTGTTAGACCATTCTTTTCATCTTTGGGACTGTGTTCAATTTCCAGTTGCCAAATACCACCAGCAATGTGAGCTGTAGCCATTTCTGCTCCTCACAGGAGCACAGAAGTTCTGGAAGATCTTTTCCTCTGATAAGGATTCCCTAAATGCGAAGAAACTGGCAGCATAACGCATGACTTCCATAGCAATCCCAGTGGATGCAGACACGAAGGACCAATACACAAACCCAAAGCAGCCCCTGTCCGCAGGCAGTGTGCTTCTGTGCACAGACCAGGCTGAGGTCTGGCTTCAGGAATCTGCAGCTCTATCCCCTCCTGCCACCTGGGTTTTCTGTCAGTCCCTTTTCTGCACAGTACATCAGTTCACAGACACTTCTGCAACATTCAACTTCCTTTTACCTCCACTGTGATAAAGGATTTTCCAGAAGGATTTAAAAAGGAAAAAAAAAAAGATCTTTTTTCTAACACACTGTTAATAATGTTAATATTTCTAGAGTACATTTCATTGACAATCAGCAGTAAGTCTGTACTGAAATGCCATCTTATTTTAAAATGCAGACAGAATCTTGTGGGTTTGTGTGTTTGTGTGTGCGTGTGTGCGTGTGTTCAGAACACATAATGATGGAAGACAGATAGCATTTAATTATGCCATTCATTTTGTGAGCGCAAGGCTGCTGTTTGTTTTAATCAAACATCCTGCTACAAAAAGCCATCAATAGATGTGACTCATTACCTTTCCTACCTTGTCCAAATATTGTGCCCAACAATTTGGCCCCCGAAGCAAGCTGGAGGACCTCTGACCTAGATGGAGGACAAGTGGGCAACTCTGAAGCAGGTGGTAGGTGCTGGAGAGCACTGGGACAGCCCAGCGAGCATGCGGCCTGTGGCACGAGGTGCCAAGCAGTCCTGAGGAGAGCAATCCTATTTACATAGATACCTCTGGGACAGCTACCCTAGCCTGGGGGAAACAGCCTGGCAACATGAGGATAGGTTTTGCAAAGATTTGTACATTTGTTAAGCTGTTCTTTTTTCCTCAGTTTTCTGAGGAAAATTAAAGTTACTTGCAGCAATTAATAGTTAGGTGAAATCAGAAGAATTTCTTCCCGTGAGACCCTACCATACTTTCAGTCTTTCATCACAGTCACTGCAGTGGACTGGAAAAGCTGAGGGGCTGCCTCCTGAAAGAGCTTCCTCTGTGAAGGGCTTGGAGACAGCGGGGGTGCCATTTCCAGCAGTGCCTTTCCAGAGCCGGTCTGAAAAACAGGAGCAGCTTAGAACAAGTGGTGCAATACATGGAATGTGATACTGCAGTCACTGAGCCACCTAATCCCTGATCTACACATCTGTCCTCTTAGGCTTTTGAGGTCATAGATATTTGCTTCACTCGGTGTTATTCCTGGACTTTACGTGAAAAGCAGCATGGTTATAGGGACTGTTTTACCCTACTGTACTTCAGTATGTTGCACCACAGAGTGGAATCTGCACAGATTTGTTTCTGGACCTTGGATTTATAATCAGAAAAATGGCATCAAAATAAAGGAAAACATAAGACTTTCTTTGCGGTAACATTTGTCCCCAACCATTTGAAGAGGCATGCCTAAAATAACTCTATTTGAAAAGGCCAGCACAATAAGTACTTCCCGTGCAGCAGAAACAGATAATATTTGCTTAGCAAAACAGGAGTCCAGGACCTTGGCAGAAAGAACTTCTTTTCTCAAATATTTGTAATTCTTTTAAAACACAATGTTACCAGGTGATCTTCTGGCCATCCAGCACCACTGAACACCACTGACCAGACCACCCACAACAGGAGTTCTGCTTGAGAGAGACACTTTGGGTAACACATTTTATATGTGGTATTTTAAAGTTAAAAAACATCTGAACGGGGTATTTCTTCACTCTGAGGAGTTGTTTTCTAGTGCCAGGAGGTGGATTTTCTTTCTGCTGTTGACTCTCATATCAGCACTGAAGCATCATGAGTCTTTTCCAGGTTGAAGTATCCGGTTGCCTTCTTGTTTGCTTATGCAGGTGTTTTACGTAATAGCCCCAAGACAACAGACGCTATTGGAAAGCAGCTGCAGCATAGGCAGCGTTGTATAGTTCACCATTTACAGTTCAATTGACCTCTAAGAGCATAAGAAAATAAGTCCTACAATATTTGATATTAAGACAAGTCAAACTGTTCAAGTTGTATTATGGCTTTGCATTGCTAACAAAAACAGTGCCCTGATAGGCAACACTCCAAAGCTCAGAAGTTATCGAATACCCCAAAATGTAAAAAGATCAAATAAACCCTGGGGAGGAGAGAAAGGGGAGAAAGGGAACAAAACTCCTTTCCTTCCAGCATTATACTCATACTTAGTCCTGAGTCTGACTAATGAAGCTGAATAAGTACTTTCAGTTCAAAGTTCTCATATGAGAGAAGAAAATTATCAAAGAAAAACTGAAGTTACATTATTTACCAGAGAAACACAGGCAAAGTCCAGCTGTCCCTCCCAAGCTTAAACTCTGCCGTTGAATTAGGTCTGTAAGACTGCTGCTGCTGTCAGCTAAAGGAGCAAGTCATCCCCTAGCAGGCAGGTCTGTCATCAAAACTCTGTAAGGAGACTTTCTCAGAAATTAGTCATTTTTAAAAAGCATTAGAAACAGCTCAATTCTCTTTCAGCTGACCAGAGACAAAGAATTTTCCTCTCCAAATACCTGACTAGATGAACTGGAAATTTATTTTCCTAAGGGAGGGCTTTCTCCAAGGACTTAACTCCTTCCCTGCAAGATGATGGATGAGACTTTACAACCACTTGTCTTTGATGCCAGAAAATACGCTATGCCCATTCACCTGGGGAAGAGAAGATTCAGGAGAGATCTCATAATTGCATGTATTGGGCTGATGGGCAGCAATAAAGAGGACGCTGCTCACAGCAGCAGTCAGGGGATTCAGTCTCCAGAGGCCCCTTTTCAGCTCAGCTGATCGGTCATTCTGCATCCCTGTCGCAGGGCAGGTAGATACATGCTGTAGCGTGACTGTGCATGAACCTCTGAACTGTTCTCCTCCGTATATCTCAGCCTCTTTCTCCATGTGGGTATACCTGCAAAGAAACTTTAAGTCTCAAGGACTAAAATTGTGATGGTGGATGAGTGATCAGCCTGAAGCAGAAGCATTTGACTTCCTATGGGGAACTCCATACAATATGGGAGAAGTAGGAAGAAATGTCTCCTTTGTAAGTCAGTTTGTCATGCAATGACCATTTAAAAAGGCTTCATTTCATTTGCAGCACTCTTAATTCTTCCTTGAAGTCACACTTTTTAATTTCACATCTCCCCACTACTTTTGTATTTTTTCTTATAGTCAGTTTGCCCAGATTCAGGGATACAGGTGACAGTGCATCACCTCCTGCTGCACAAACATGTATTAGTACATTTAATTCTCTCCTTTAGCACAAAGGAATTATTACTACATTTGGTTTTAATCAGCTTCTGGGAATATACTCAGCCATTCCCCTGTGCAAGTTGTGCTTTGTACGAGGATTCTGTTTTAAACATCTCACATGAGATGGATCAAGGACTAACAATGAGTATTTCTGACCACTCATCATCACATCACAGTTAACATCCTTTGGGCTTTTTCTGCAGGACCAAGGAAGAAAATCCTTCCTGGGGTGGTAAAGCCTGAAAGAGAATGAAATGTTTAGGTGGCCAAGCAATACCACAACCTCCCATGAATAGGCTCATGGTTTGCAGGCAGTTATACTCCTGCCAGAATAGGGCAGGGGGAGGATCTACCAGAAATCCTTTTGAAAGAGCCTTAAAGCTGTTGATTTTGGCAGAAGCAATGCCCTATTTCTACAGCCTCACAATCAACTCCGAAAAAACAACAACCCTTCCTTTTCTGTGCCCCAGGCCTGTGTGGACTGCTCCCCCATTAATCCCCCATTAAGGCTTATCTACCTTTCATATAATGAAGCCTGCAGCTTAATCAAGTGAGGCAGCAACAGGCCTGGATTTCCAAGATTGAGCTTCTGTCTCCTTACACTTGCACAGCTGCAGTTTCTACAAGTTTATTTGTTCCACCGTGCTCCCAGTTCACCAGAGCCAAAAAAAAAAGGGGGGGGGGGAGGGAGCCTTCAAGCATGCAGAAGCTCTGTACCTCTGTGATTCTCATGACATTGAAACAAGCACTTCAGCCACTCACCATTTGCTGGTACAATATGGAGAAAGATTATCCTAACTTTACCGTAGTGCCTTGAACAAGGTACATAACAAGTCATTAGCTGAACCAGGAATTCAACTTGAAGATCCAAAGCTATCTTTTACCCATTCGGCACTGATATCCTATCTGCCTCAGTTGAAGAAAGGATGCAATAGCTGAATTACTGAGGGTCATAGCTCCAGGGTACGTTCCCGACCAAAACATAATTACCTGGCAACTTCATCCTGGCAGCTGCAAAATCAACCACGGGAAAGAAAGGTAAATGAAGATATTAATGGTGCTACAGCGATCACCCTCTCCATAGTGACGCAAGGCAGGAGCCACCTGACTGCTTAGTGTTGACAGTACAGGTCTGTGAGAGAAAGAGCCGAGCCTGCAAGCAGTGACTTTTAGCTTGTGCTCAGCAGAAGCTGATGTTGTTATCCTCAAAACACGGAAAACTGCTAATGCCTGCTTTGGGAATACAAATCATCCTCCCACTTCCTAGGAGAATGGCTGTTTCCTAAGCAAACCTTTCTCTCCCTCCCCAAACACAGGGCACATTAAACCTTCCTTTCTGTAAATGACTGCTGTTTAAACGGTCTATTTAACTAATGTAATACCTAGGAGCTGTGAGAGTTCAGCGCCTACTGTGTGCACATGCCACGTACGTGCTTAGGGACCAGAGGGAGTGAAAAACAACCCTCCCACCCCCTCAAAGCCATATACCAAACAGCTTCGACTTGGTAACTGCTTGATGTTTTATCCTAAAGGCAAACTAGCACTTCTCTCCCCTCCTCCACCTTCACAAGCAGATTTGTTCCACAGCCACCTTTGAATTTAGCACCAAATGCCTTACAGAGCTTGAACTGTTAAGTAAAATAAGGCACAACAGCATGAGAGCAATACTGAACACCACAGTGCTTTGAAGTACTCTTTAACAAAAAGAACCAAAACTTTATTCAGTACAAAACTTTCAGAATACAAAATAACCATTTGAAGTATTACAAGGACAACATGCTCATTAAAGACAATTCCCGTTCTCCTAAGGTGTAATCCCGTTTCATACTGCACCCTTTGTTTGTTGCTTTCATCCTCACAGAGAGGCTGTGAAGCTCTTCCTCTGTAACACCGTCAAAAAAGAAGTCCTCATTGAAGATGGGATTCCTGCTTCTCTTTATAACAGTGCTTCTCTGCTTCTGTGTTTTCCCTGGTACCAGGGAGAAGGTGA